ATTTTGTTTAAGTTAAGAGTGACTCTCCATCTATCACACCATTCTACAATGTTGTTTAATTGATTTTATACTCTATCTAATACAGATGGAAACACAAAATTTAAAGCTGTTGGTGTTCCGGACACGGAAAGTAAAAAGTATCGAATACAGACTAGTGCCTTAGCGTCCCTTTGAGGGCGCCTGCGGAAAGTATAGTGCCGTATCGTCGGTTCTACGGACGGTACGATATTCTGACCTATTCATGAGGTGGGGGGTGTCACTATTATATATTGTGTATAATGTAGAAGCTAAAATTGAGCCCTGTGGGACTCCAGATAGTGGAGTGAACAGTGTTGAGAATTTGTTGGCTAATAGTATGTTCTAATAAGTGCAGGATGAGATAAGACCATACAAATTTAAAGGTATTATCCAAATAATGAGGAGATTTTTAAAGACATGCCTACAGACGAGGGAATACCTAAAATTTTTGACATATATCACAAAAAGTTTTTCGCTAACAACATTGTCCTGGCATAATCAAGCTGGTAGTATAGTTATTTTGAACCATTTTGTTTTTATCGTTATTGATTATTATTCTTCTTCTTATCCTTCTATCGTACATTTTTGGAGATAGGCCCAACTCCTTCCATCGATCTCTATCCTGAGCAACATACTTCCAATTTGTTCCGACTATTTTTTTATGTCATCTACCCATCTCATCTGTGATCTTCCTCTTAGTTGTCTACCTTCGTACGGTCTCCAATCTTGTTTTGTGGAGTTCCAACGTTGGTCTTTTTGTGCAGAAGTGTGGCCTGCAAAGCTCCATTTGAGTTTGGCAAATTTTGTTGTGGTATCATCGACTTTGTTCTTGATCTTACCCAGTAGCTCCTCTTTTTATCTAACAATCATATAACTAATCCATACACTTTCCATTGTCCTTTCTGTTGTGCCAAGTTTGTTTAAGTTTGCCTTAGTTAGGTTAGGTTTGACGTCCATACGTCATTTAAGGAATGATGCACTGGTTGATCAGTTTGCTTCTCAAGTATTGAGGTATTTGCGGTTCTTAAGTATCCAACTGAGTTTTTTAAATCATGCCTATGCCAGTCATGTTTTTTCACGAAGTTTCAGAATTTGGCAGTAGGTAGATATATTTTTGGACTTGTTCTATCTTATTGCCTTTTATGGTTATACGTCTGGGATCATCTGTGTTTGTCATTGATTTTGTTTTTGTTATATTCATTTTTAGGCCGACGTATCGGGAGCTGTTTGTGAGTTCCTCCGGAATAGTTTGAAATTCCTAGATCGCTATAATCACGATGTCGTCAGCGAATCTAAGATGGTTTAACTTGTTGCCATTAACGCTGGTGTCATATTTTAACCAATTTGTAAAAGTTTTGGAGACGTCTTCTGGGACTTAAACAGCTTTGGCGATATTACATCGACTTGTCGAACTGCTCTCTTAATGTGATGGGATTTATATTTTCGTCGATTTATACTATCATAGTTGCGAAATATGGGTAGTTGGTATTCACTGGTCTTCTTCATCAATGTTTTCATCGGTGGTCTGATGGTCTGATGTATTATATCCTTTGCGAAAGTCAGCATGTTCTACCGATTGGTAATTATCCATTTTGTCAGTCAACTTAGGCTACTAATTATTTGGGTAAAATATGTCCACTTTTTCTGTAGAAGTATTACTATACTCTCGTTCCAGTCTTTATTAATTCTGCTATTATGGAGCCATGTATCAAATAGCTCTGTTATTATTGGGATAGTTATTGTCTTGTTGTTTTTAAAAGCTCGGCAATTATACCATCATATCCTGGAGCTTTATTATTTTTTTAGATCTTTTAAAGCCCTCTTTATTTCTAATCCCTCTCTATTTGGGAGTACCTCCAATCCCACGTTTTTCTTTTGGCGTTCTTATTTGTTGGTTCATTAGGTTAGCTTTGCTAACTTTACAAGGTATTGTAGAAGTCTTCAACTATCTTTGTTATTTTATATTGTCCTTCTCTTCCTTATTATTGGTGTATTTAATTTTAATAATTTTCTGAACACCCACTGTTGGTGTTAGACATTTTAATCCTCTGTTGTTTTCTATCACTTGCTCTACCAAGTTTTAAGTCACATTTCAGTTATTTTCTAATAGTTTTGGTAAAGTAACCTTAATCGAGGACTTAACGATGGGATATAAGCCATGCAGCTTATAACTGGCTGTAGAAAAAGTTTTATATTTTATCGAAGATAAGTCATTGAACTTTGTCTTAGACGGTTAGGATTTGTAATCATTTATCATAATACGCGGTAAAACATTAATAACTGATAAGGATTTTTAAGTTTGGTGAACTTAGATTTTTCGTGTAAATTGCTACTGTACCAAAATTACCGTCACATGTACGGAATGAGTGACCTATTTTTGAAAACCTGTGAATAATTCTGAAGAATATGTGCTACGGCAAATAATAACTGTAGCTTAACCACACACAACTTTTGTTTTGACCTACCGAGCTCTATATAAAAATATAAAGGATCTTATAGGGAGGCCATATTTTATAAATGTAGTATTCCAGAAATTGAAACAACTAACAGAAAAAAAATTAAGCACAAATCAAGAAACCCACCTCATGTTTATTGACTTACCGAAGGCGTACAGTTCCTGTAAACAAACTCTGGAACGTGTTACGACAGACAACTATTAGTGTCGCCTTAAGAAATTTGTATGAAGGGTCAACATCACAAATAAAAACTGGAAAAAGACTATCGCAAAGCTTCCTGGTTAATAAAGGTCTACGTCAGGGTTGTTGTGTATCACCGACCTTGTTTAAAATATATGTTGCAAAAGCATTGAAAGAGTGGAAACGAAAATGCAAAGGCATGGGCGTAGACCTTGGAGAGATGTGCTTGTATGTATTACAGTTTGCTGATGACCAGGTTGTTATAGCAAACGATAAAGATGACCTGGAGTACATGGCAAGGAAATTACAAGAAGAATATAGAAAGTGAGGACTAGAAATTAATACAGAAAAAACAAAATACCTGCCAATAGGTACCGAACTATCGAACATCACATTAGAAAATAACGAAATCATCATGCCCTGCGACCATTACACATACCTAGGAATCGTTTTTGACACAACGGGGAAGATGATGAAGAAATATAGAGAAGAATAACACAATCCAGAAAAACAATACGTTGTCTAAACAGCGTACTGTGGAGTCATGAAATAGGAAAAAGAAGAAAACACAATATCTACGAATCTCTTATTAAAAGCAGTCTACTGTACGGAGCAGAAACTTGGCGAATAACCGAAAACAACAGAAGAAGACTGGAGGCAGTAGAAATGGACGCTTTTAGAAGATCAGTAGGAGTGTCACGCAGAGAGAGAATACCTAACGATGAGATAAGACAGCGAATGGGGGTTGACGGCTCTCTAACAACAGACATAGAAAGAAAACAGCTGATATGGTACGGACACGTCCAGAGGATAGATAACTCAAGACTCCCAAAAATAATTATGCAATGGGTACCATCAAACCGCAGAAAGAGAGGAAGACCCAAGGAATCTTGGAGAGAGAGAGAGAAAGAGTAACGAAGGCGATGAGCGCAAGAGATCTTAGAGAGGGCCAATGGGATGATAGAGTGTCATGGAAATTAGGCATCGGACAACGTGGCAAGATGTTTTAAAACCGATTGATATATAGATAGTATTCCAGAAATTTACGTAATTTCTTGTGCACTATAAGATTGCACAAATTGTTCAGAGCTGTCAGTATAGGTCCTTTAGTGGCCCGTTTGCACAACCATTTGGTTGTGTAACATAAGCAATTTGATCGCAGGTATGGGACCTAATATTCTAAACAAAAAATTCTGTAAAAAAGCCATTTGAGCCAAATTGTTCCTATTACTGAGCTTTTTAGATATCTACCTCAAATTACATCTATATTGATATTTCAAAGCAGTGGGATAATAGTTGCAGATGTCTGTGGTAGTGTTAGCACGATGAACGAAACAACGAGAAGAAAGTAGTGTATTGTGTTATACGATAGAAAAAATCCAACAGCACTAAAATATTCATTCTACTCTATCGTCATACTATTAGCCAAAATGTACGGCACTGAATATCGGGAGTTAGATAAAGTAACACCAATGAATGCGATTTAGAAAAAATGATGAATAGATAGAAGAAATAATAAAAAAGCAACGATGAATATTCGATATTTAAGTTCCTGAAACGAGTAGAAGAGAATGGCCAAAAAATACCTTAAGCCGATTGGGCCAGACATTTCCATGAAGGGGATTAATTTAAAAAAATCGTATTTGTATATGGATAAAGGCAAAGATAATTATTGTTCTTGGTACGGCTTTTGCTTTTGGTACCAGTCAAAGGCAAACGGTTCATACTTATGTAAATAAACATACATTATGTTCTTTACTAAGTTCCGTTTCATTCAGACGTCGACCGATAATGTCGTACTTATGACTCAACAAAATAAAATATTTTAAAGAATGTTTTTACACTATTTTTAAACTGTTTTAAATTGTGCTGCGTATTCAAAGAAAATAAAACTCGTCAAGATAGTCTGTGCTTGTACATAGAATATAGACAAAAGTTATGCGTGAATAGCCAAAACTTATAACAACATAATATGCTACAGAAAAAAAGAAGTTTATCTGCAACCGACATCGAAAACCGGTGCGGGCAGACTTATCGCTTTGTGATAATATCAGTGTACTTAAAAAAAGGTAATTATTTATTAACTTATTTAACAGGCTTAAAAATGCATTTAATTTTTATTATATCATTAAAAATCAATTCACATTAGTAACCAATAATGCAGAATAGCAGTGGCAGCTCATTAAATAATTCCATGTACCAAAATGTATTTTCAAACATGCAAAATCATACATAACAGCCAATTACACAATTCTTTCATCCAACATATCCACAACAAACACACATGTTAAACAGTACACCATATATGCCAACGTCGTTTCTACCACCTCAGCACCAACAATTTAGATGCATCCGCAACAACTCAATAGTGAACAAACGACACAACTAAATCAAGAAATCAACCCTACGCTAGATGTTCTACAAAGCATAAAACAATCTAGGCAAGTATCAAAACCAAATAGTTATTTACAACAAAGAAACACAGCTACAGACAGAATGGAAGTTAATGGTCATACAAGCGAGGATGATAAAATACTGACAGAAAATGAATTCAAAATTAAAAGTAAAAGGAAGAGATACAGTCCGCATAAAAGTACAAATGTTACAAGACAAAAAATAACAAAACCATCTCCAACCACAAGCAACAAATATAGTGCACTAGATAAAGTAGATGAAGAGGAACACTTGCCGCAAGTACCTTTAAATAAAACTAATAAGATCAGTGTAAAGATTCCACCCTTTATACTACACGGTGTAACAAATAGAGCGCAAGAGTTATTTCAATTCATCAATAAGTATACCTCAAACGCTTATAATAATATAAATTGAAAATTCAAGTAACAATAAGTGAGGAATACAAAGTCATCAGAAAAGCGTTTAATAAAATAAGATAGTGTTCCATACTTTTATACTCCCCGAAGAGAAATCCTTTAGGGTAGTTTTAAGAAATATCCACCACAGTACTTCAATTCAGGAAATCCAAAAAGCCCTTGCAGACGAAGGACATACAGTTACAAAAATCATGAATGTTCATAACATGGAAAGCAAGCAACCCAAAAATCTATTATTTATCGATCTGAAAAATAATGAAAACAACGAAGACATCTTATTTCTAACAGGAATAACAAACTTACTACATGCTGAACGCTTCGAAGTACCCCATAAATACCATATAATACAGTGTAAACGTTGCCAAAACTCCGGTCATTCAATAAACCAATGCACATTACCGTATAGATGTGTTAAATGTGCTGGAAATTATGATTACCGAAATTTCGAAAAACGTAAAAATGATGGGAAACCAGCAAAATGTACATTATGTGGAGGTGACCATCCATCTAATTATAAAAAATGCCAGGCTTATCTAGAGATACAAGCTAGAAGATATCCACATAAAAATGTGAGTGAAATCATTGCAAACAAACAACACAATGAAAACACTCATCCAATAACTAAGCGCACATATACACCAGTAGTTCAAAATCAGCAACCTAGCACTATGCCACAACCAACAACAAACGGCAATCAACAAGACAGTCAATTTCACTTTATCAGAAAATTAACAGAAAACAATAGAAAACCAACAACATACAATTAATTTATTGACACTAGAAATACAACAGTTAAGAGAACTCATTACTAAAAACAGTTAATGGCACTACATCTAATAAGAATTGCTGAATGGAACATAAATGGTCTTTTAAAACGTTGACAAGAAATCGAAATATTCTTAGCCATCAATAAAGTAGACATTCTGTTAGTATCTGAGACGTACTTATTCGCCAGTGCACAATTTAAAATCACCTCGCATAAGGTCTACAACGCAGCACATTTTGATGCAGAAAGAAACCCCAGAGGCGGTGCAGCAATAGTAATTAGGAATAATCTAAAATATCACGAACTACCGACAATTGAAAAAGACTTCTTACAAGTAGCTTAAATTTGCATAGAAGACAATTTTGGCCCACTATGCATTTCAGCAGTTTATTGTCCGCCAAATTATCCACCTAACAAGAATGAATTTGAAACATTTTCAGATCATTAGGACCCAAGTTCTTAGTGGAGGGAGACTACAATTCAAAACACAAGAGCTAGAGCTCTAAATCTATCAGAAAAATGTCCACCTCCAAGATTAACGAATAAACCAACGGACTGGAATATTTTCAAAGAAATCCTACAAGAAAAAATAAACAAAACAAAAGAAACATTAACAAAACAAACACACGAAGCTGCATGAGAATCTACAAAACATAACTTTGAACGAAAACAGTTCCATAAGGATTGTCCAATAATAATAAGAACAAAAATATTTTAAAAACTAAAACGAAACAGAAAAAATGAAGATGACGACATCTATGAATATTTTAGACAGTCCTAATCAAACGAACCATTCACCCAAATGGGTAACTCCTAACGAAGTGAAATGTCGAATAAAAAAACTCCATAAAAAGAAGTCGTCTGGACATATATTATGATATGATAACGGCCAACATATTTAATAATCTATAAAGATTATATAAAATATTATACCTAACCATCAGTTTGGTTTTCGCCAGAAAACGGCACAGGGCAATTAAACAAGTGCATAGGGTGGTATGGGGGTAGATACAATCAGCCTTCTAGGAAAAGAGCTTTTGCAATGCCATTTTCCTGAATGTTAGTCAAACATTTGACAAGGTCTAGCATCCAAGATTACTATTCAAACTGAAGAAAGCAATATCTCAGCCGCTACACACGATAATAAAATCATACCTCGAAGAAAGACTATTTTATGCAAGATACGAAGAAAGTGAGTCTAACATCCACAACATAAATGCAGGGGTCCCGCAAGGCACTGTCTTGGGACCAATTCTCTACACAATCTTCACAGTTGATTTTCCAACTGAAGAAAAATCTACAATCTCAACATTCGCAGATGACACTGCAATTCTGGTCGAAAACCGCGATCCCATAAAAGTAGCTAAAATATTACAACAAAACATACATTTAATTGAAATATGGGCTAAGGAATGGAAGGTAAAAATCAACGAAGCAAAATCAGTTAACTTTATATTTGCTAAATGTCACAGTGACACACCAAATATCCTAATGCATAACAAGAACATTCCAAAAAATGATATCTTGAGTGTAAAATATCTTGAATTACACCTTGACAAGAGGCTAACATAGAGGACACACATCTGGATGAAGAGAAAACAATTAGGAAGAGAATTCAAAAACACTACTGGCCTTAAATCCACGTTATCATTATCTAACAAAATTGTAACGATGAGTCCAAGCCATCACCGTTAAACCAACGTGCGCGCGAACCAACCCATGAAGTTGGAGTATATCGATAGTAGAAAGGGCAAAACTAATTACCAAGCTCCGCTATATAAACCGCAACATTTCCTCATAGAAGGAGAATCGACAGGTGTTGACTGAAGGTTCTCTTCTTCCCTACCCCGGCTTGTGGACGTGTTGAGTTCACAAGTTGTTCCGTCCCATACCGCCGTTACCCGAAGAGCGTGTTGAGCTCTTCACTACCCATACTCTGAAGCAGACGTGTTGAGACTGTCGAGGAGTGTCCTGTTAACCCGAATCACTTAAGGGACGTGTTGAGTTCATTTCCTTTCTTTGTACCTATCGTCCGCTGTTATTAAATCGATACAACGTTCCCGTAAAATTTCAAATACACATTCGCTCGCCGATAAAACTAATTTCATATGACAAGGTCAAACTTAATTTGAATAAATAGGCCAGGTACTGAGAAGACTAAACCAAATTGTAAATATGTACATAAGATTTTTGTCAATTTAATTTAAGGAAGACAATAAAGTTTTATTTTTGTTTTGAACTCTGTCTCTGACTGTCTAAAAGCTACCCGGATAGTGACTCCTACGAGAGGACATCACAAAATATAAGTGTATAAAGCACATATGGACATACGAGATTGAACTATGGGCAACTGCAGCAGATAGCAACATAGCGATACTAGAGCGATTTCAATCCAAAGTTATTCGTGCCATTACTGATGCGCCGTGGTTAATTCCAAATACAGATATTTACAAAGACTTAAAGATCGAAACAGTGAAGCAAATGATTGTTGAAAGCAGTGATAAATAATTTAAACGACTGGAAAAACGATACAGCAGTAAATTTATTGGACAACTCGATACAACTAAATATATTGAACATTAGACCTTGTCTTGACTTACCATTTACAAAATAGGTGTTTATAGTCTTAGGTATTAGTAATAAACTTTCTAGGAGTTAATAATCATTGGACTAAAACTCTTGCTCACATATCTCAGTGATACTTGTTTGTATGTAACAGATTGTATTTTAAAACAAATAAAAACAAAGTTCTTTACTTACATATTTTTTTACATTAAAATTGGTTTCTACGAAACATAAATCAACATAATTGAAAACTGTTTGAAGAACAAACATTTTTTTGGACGACGCTGATTGTATGGTCAAGGCCGGAATAAATGATGGAAATATAAATACCGGCGAGAATGTCTGGAAGCTAAAATATCTTAACTTTGTTGTCCTTAATCCTCAAGATTTACACATACGGCAACTTGTTTGTTATGCAATTTACTTTTGTTACGAAACTGTCGAATGTGTAAGCCGAAAATCAATATATATGTTACTGATAAGAGTCTTAAGTTGTAGTAGTATATTTATTTAACACAATTATAACTATAGATTTCAAGGAAATACTTTGTTTTTGATTTATATGCAAGGAAAATTAGAATTTATACAATTTTTTTTTATATGACGACATTGTGGTTAAATCAGATTGTGAATAACAAAGAAACAGCATGGATAACATAAAAATAAAATCAACAATACATATTAAATGGCTATACATACATCTTAGATTAATAATACAATACCATACAATGCAATAATACATATTAAATGTGGCACAAAGAATTTGAGATCACTAGAACAATAAGCAGTAGGTAAAGAGTATTTGCTACAATAAGAAGGTGTAAGAAATCTACTAGAGACACTTAAATCAATGGATAGTGACTGGAGGTACTGAGGATAGAAATACACATAAAGAGCAAAGAAGATTAGTAACAAGCGAAATAAAGAATGCTAAAAACAATTCCTGGGAAAGAACATGTGAAGAAGTGTGCCGATAATACAAGAGCAAATATAGCCTGAAAAGTTATGAGAGGTCTACGACTACATATTTAAGTAGCTGCAGGACTACATCTTATTGGGATTCAAGAGTGGAAAGAAGATCCCAACGGAAGACAGAATCGAATTTCAAGAAGACACTTCAGAAGAAATTTACGAAGGAAATGTTCTACAAGACGCAATAATAACCGCAACAGAACTACGAAAATGTGTCATGCAGCTAAAGAATGCGAAAGCTCCTGGTCCAGAAATATAAGTAGCGAACTACTCAAAGTAGCTCCGAATAAATTAGTGGAGATCCTTGCAATTGTCTTTAATAAATTCCTCAACGAAAACGAGCTACCACCCAAATAATGGAATAGAGCATTCATATCTTCCATTTATAACGTTCATCTATTTATCCGCTTATAACGTTCTTCGCCGTTTTCTGATTTCCTGGTTTCATTGGTCTCAATCATCCAAAAGGTTCTTTTATTCCTCTCGCTTTCATATCCTTGTTGACTCATTTTCTCCAACTTAACCAAACTGGACACCTTATGGTGTCCAGTTTAATACTTTTTTAATATTGTACCGTCATCCATTATTTGTATATGCCCTACCATGTTAGCTGATTGATTGATCAACCAACTAAGGCTTTATGAACAAGTACTAAAACACCAAATTAGCGAACAAGTTAAAGAATCAGAAGATCAAAACGGTTTTGGTACAATTTTGTATAAAAGGGGTTTCCATTATTACACAGCTTATGGGCTTATGGATATAGAGAAAAGCACAGAAAGAGGGTCAGCTGTCTATTTAACCTTTGTAGATCTTGAGAAATACTGCGGTACCGTACCATCAAATAAGTTCTGGTTTTTTAATGAAGATTGTCTGATTGTTAGAATATACCTGGAAGAAGTACTTAAAATATAACAAAGGAAATGTGGACAAATGAGTATAACGGAGGGTAATTACACAATATACTCTTCTTCGCAGACAATCAAGGTTTTAGCTGCTGACACTGCAGCAACTTTTTGAAATAATTGTCCAGTGTATGAGGAACTTTTTTGGCTTTTCCAATTATTACCAAGACCTCATTTATGCGGCATTTTTCCATACACGGAGTAATTTTGGAATAACATATATTTTATATTTTTGGTCAAATTATCATTTACCCTTGTAGATAATCTTTTAAAAACAATACACTTTTGCACACTATTCTTATTCCTTCATAAATAAATTTGTATTTACATCTTTTATTATATAAATATCAAAATATAGCCTAAAAAAACAGTTAATGCCAAGTATACATAATTTATTATTGCCCTTCACCTCAATTTTATTCACATTGTGGGCTAAATGAATTCGGTGTTTTACCCAATTTTAATAAACGCATATCGTTAGGTGTGTAATTTCAATTTCATGAATAAAACCTAAAATTGTATAACAATTTATTAACATTACCGTCAAAATTGATAAAAA